AAGCATATGGTCCACTGAAGTACGTTCTGTCTTCGAATCCATGTTTACGTAGTCAACAGTAAGGTGTCCCTGGATGAAGGGTTAGCCAATGACAAGGAATCCACCTACAGAGGACGACACACAACATACTCAAACGCCGACATAAATGTCTCGAGTGGGATTCGAACCCGCGTTCAGAACAGTACAGAGGCAGTCTTTAAACTCGTGGCCGCCGCTACATAGAAGATGCAAATCTATTTCGTAAATAAACACACCACAGCTACAGTACACAGATTACGAAATTCAACAAACTAGGCAACAGACAGGTTAAGGGAAGGGCTTACAAGGACCCAGAACGTCATATATTGTCACGAATTATTCTGTTGCACGCATCTTATAATGAGATGGCGTGGATTTAAAAATATGTGGATCACCCTGTAGATAAAAATCTACCGGGTAAGTTTTTCATACTCCTATCATTTTCTGTACTTTCCATTCGAACCATTTGCCAGATCTAATTCCTTTACATTATTTTAAATATCTTCGTGGCTGTATTTTTGTGGTCATTTGCTTAAACACGTTAAGTCTGTCGTATTAAATTCCAAAAATATCTGTGCAAAAAGAAAATATTTCTGCCCACGTCTGAAGCTCGCAGACAAGGATTTGTATATCAGTTACAAAATCTAATTGGGTACATGTGAACGAGATTAATTAAAAAAAAAGGGTATTTCATGACCGTTTGGTAAACATAATTTCGCCGGGAAGGTAGACTACACAGAGAAACACTGTACACTGCAAAAACCTCACTAAGCACATCCATCAAACTTTATCACTACCTTAAAACTGTATGTAGATGGGTTTTTCAAGACAGCCTGAGGTGAATCAAACTTGAAGTCTCCTTAAACTTCACAGTTATTCTGTGGCTAGCATAGCGTTATTATTAACACGATAATAAACTTAGGGTCGAAGAAATGGCGTGGAAATCAATGGACATCGATTACCATCCTCTCAAAATTAATTATACTTTATTTCTAACTAAGGACGTACCGTCTGTTAACTTCTACCGGGCAACAAGCAACAATCTAGAAGAAACATCGATTTTCATATTCTGTGACGTATGTGAGCCGCGTAGAATACCGAGTTCTACCCAACGTTTCGTCGGACATTACAGTTGCCATCTTCAGGGTAAATTTATGTGAATTACAGTCTGAACATCTCCTGACTGTCTGGAATGCCTAGAAATTGCGAATTCGTCGTCGTTTGTTAAAGTTAATGTAAATTAAGTAACATTTAAACTATCTGCTTCCTGTATTTGAAATATACGAAGTGAATGCAAACTCGAGAAAACATCTGTGTGTCTGTTCGTACATTAATTACACCAAATAACATAACGGAAATCCATGATTACTGATGAGGATTACCAACAGTGCAAGAAATTTCATTTCGATTCGTATCGATTTCTTTTAATCGATCTTTACGCTAAACTCGAACTCTTATTACATTTCTAGGTAAAGTCTCACCAATCTAGCGACATGCAGTGCATGTAGGTGGCATCTATTTTCTGCGAGCGAAATATAACTCGATATATCGAAACACGAGGCAAATGCAATTTAAGTTACACCCCCACGAATATTAGATTATACAAATATTATCCTTATACAAGTTTTGAAAACCCATATGGTTCGATATAACCTACACACTTACCATTGGTCTTCAGAGGATTAATCGATTCTAATAATTAGAGCAGTAAAATGCATTCTACTGATATTTCCACTCACACGAAAAAAAAATTCCTTTATCCGAGTCTCTCGTGAACTATGTATATATTTTTATTTATTTAGTGTTCTGTCTGACGACAGGTCCATATGAACAGGATCCTTCCATCCTTTTCTCGGACTGGGACCTGTTCATATACGTTCTTGGCAGATGATCCAGAAGTGGTTTGACATTGCCTTCTTCTGTGTGTGAATGAAGTAATTGTTGGGATGCCACGGAGAAAACTCAGTGTTGCCTAGACCACGGCCTTGCCCAAAACAAGTTATAAATTCGGGCA